TAAACAGCAGCTTTACAGCAGCGACAGACAAAGACTCCACGAGAACAAACTCCACGGAACCTTCCTCGCCTAGAGGGGCAGAGACAGCCGGGGACCCAGTGGGTGGATTTCACCTGGCCAGGGAGCAAGCACCACTTGGAGCTCTCACACTAGGGGTACGTCTACACAGCAACAAAAACCCCGTGCCTGGCCCGTGCTGCAGGGCTGGTCCGTTGCTGTGTAGACGTCCAGGCTCGGGTTGGAGCTGTGAGGATCCCAGAGCTTGGGCTCCAGCCTGAGCTCTGATGTCTACACAGCAGGGAAACAGCCCCGCAGCAGCCCCAGGCGGCTGGCACAGGCCAGCCGCGGGTTTTTCTTTGCTGTGCAGATGTACCCCAGCAGGTCCCAGCTCTCCAGTGCACACCGGGAGGGGTGGCAGGGGACCGGTTATAAAACCATGCCCCACAGATGGGAAGTGGGGTTTTGGCAGGTTGAGGCAGAGGAACACTCTGATCCATTAGCTATTACTCCTGTGAGTGCTACTCAAGCTCACGAGACAATCCACGTGTGTAAGGTTTACTCCTAGGAGTATGGGCAGCAGGACTGAATCCTGTGGCTCCTACCCTATGTGGAGGAACCTATAGAAGATTCTGAAGGCCCCCACCCCCCTCTCCAAACTAAGCTCCATACCCACTGGTTAACCCTGGGTGTTTAACCCTTTAGGGACTTGCCAGTTGGCTGGTTTGGGGAGGTGAGATGTGGTGCCTGGGCGTGGAGGGTTTTATCTGTAGGGAGGTGGGACTGGGCCTGGACTCTTGGAAGGAAACAATTTAAATGCCACCTGCCTCCCCCGGTTTGAAACCAGCGATGCTACCAAATGGGCAGGGTTAATACTACCGCATGCTATGGACGCTGACCACCCTGGATAGCTCGGGCAGGGGGATGGGGCATTGGCCATGGCTTCATTGGCTCTTTTAATTCAACTTTCTGGGGTCCCGGCCTGGAAGCTGTTGCACCTCAAATGTGGGGTGGCCAGACATGCCGACGTGCTGTTCCAGTCAGTGTAACCCTGGCTTCATTTGTAAGTGAAGCAGTTTGGGCAGGTCACTTGCTGGTGTAATTTTGAATGTGAAGACTGGGCCAGTCTACTCTCATGCTTCAGGGCACTGCTGATTGCTGGGAGCATGGAACAGGAAGGAATAATCCCACCCTACCATTGCCCCCTCCCCACCCCCATTTACAGCATTGCACAACTGGCCAGGTGCGTGATGAGGTTATTTTGCCTTCCTTCCAAGTGTGACTATTAGTTTAGAGCTCCCATCGGGTTGCTAAGCTCCTCCTGGCACAGGAATAGAACAGCACTTCCCTGAACAGCCTAGATAACCGGCTTGGCAGCTGAATGAGGATGTAACACACCAGGAAAGGGCCAGGTTACACAGTTACTCAGGTCAGGCAGACATTCCTTTGGATGACTTATGTTTATTGTTAGTGGAGGACAAATGTGCCTCTTTAAACAGGCAGGGCTGCAGAAGTGTGTGAGTTATTTTGAAATAACACACTGCAATGCTTAGTTCTCATTTGGTGTCTTTCAGCATTAGAGCACAGCGCCCTTTGCCAAGGAGAGTCATCACCCCCATTTTACAGATGGAGAAACTGAGGCACAGAGAAGGGAGGCAATTACAGCTCACTTGAATGAGGCAAGGGTGGTTCCTAATTGCTGGGCCAGCATGGAAGGAAGCACAGAGACAGCTGGGGCAGGACGATACAGACCGGGCACCAAGGCTGGCACACAGGTGATCGCCAGGCTTGGGGTGGGGGGAGAGATGGGGAACACAAAAGGAGAGCAGATCAGAGATGGAAGTAGGAGACGAATGGCCCTGAGAGGAAGGACAAGAGGTGAGACTTGGAAGCGACTCAAAGGGAGGGTCGGGGGGCATGCTCGGAGCTCTGGGGGAGCAGGACCATTCAGGCAGCATTTTGGAGGCAAGCACGGTTGGTTTCAAAAGGACCCAAGCAGAAGAGACTGCAGCCGTTGTGGTGGCAGAGGATTGGCGTGTGGACAAGTGCTTTATCCATCCAGGCATGTGCAGGACAAGAGAAGATCTGCGCTCGGAGGAGGAGAAGGAAATGGGAGGACGCAGAAGTTACAAGACTGGGTGAAGGGAGGGGAGCAGGTTTGGGAGGAAAGATCCATTTGACCCTGTTGAGCTGGAGGGGACAGTGAGCCATCCAGGATGAGGCTTACTGGGACCAGGAGTGACGGGAGAGTGAAGTGCAGGAGGTGGGTCTGGGGGGCACATGTATCTGAGACTTCGCAGGATGGAGGGGATAGCTGAACCCTGAGAGCGGATGGGGTCACCCAAGGACAGGGGGTAGTGAGAAAAGAGAGGGATCATGGGAGTTCTTTGAGATGTAATAGTGACACGCTCAGAACTGACGGCGACTCCCTTCTAGACAGAGCACCTGGCTGGTGGGCAAACACTTTGCAGGGGCCAAAAAACAGGAGCTAGCAGAAGAGTCAATGAAAATCCCCTGCTGAGGGACGGCCCTTCTGGAGACACGCCAACTGATGGAGTCACGCCTGTCCCGTCACGGTCTCTATCCCCGTTGCTGTGGGGCGTGCCGGAACCCAGAGCAAGCCTCACCAACGCAGCGAGCGCCCAGTCTAGCCAGTGCCGGCGATGTCAGTTACTGTATCTGCTGGAGACTTCAGCGGGCCAACACTGTTAATGTTCATACACTGCAGCCGGCACGTTCGCAGGTTTGCAGTCAAGGGCTGCAGGGGCCTGCTGCCATTTCGGATTCAGAGCCACTGCGAAGGGCACTGGCTGCTACGCTTTAGTGCCCTTCTCCTTCCCAAGAGCTTTACAAACAAAAGCAACGACCCTTGCTGTATTAGCGTTGGTAGCACTTGGATATCAAGACATAACAACAGTGACACCAACACTGCCTGAGTAGGGTCACTTCACCCACCAGTGAAATGCACCCACCTCTGGGGCAGAGCAAGGCAGCTGTTTGTCAAGAAATCAGAACAGGAAGTGCAAAATACTATCTCCAATAGGCCCAGGGCAGAGAGCGGCTGGGAAGAGGCAGGATGGGGTAGGGGTTTGGGGGAAGGGAGTAGGGCCTGGGGTGGAGTGGGGGATTGAGCACCCCCCAGGCCCAGAACCTGAAACTGACCAGGAACAAAGGTGAAACTGATCTGCCAGGTGCAATACAGAATCACAGCAGTGAGGAAAGCACATTCCATTTTGAAATGAATTTGTGCTTTCACAATCCAGGGAGCTACTAGTCAGGGTGTTTGCTTTTTAAATCTCCGTGGACGAGATTCTCAAAGAAACAGTGGCGTGGTGACCCTGAGTCCAGCGCCTCAGCTCCCTGCACAATGCATGGGGACAGTGAGCTGCCCCAGAAGGGGATTGGCACTGAGGCGGCTCCTCCCCTAACCAAGCCAATGGGCAGTGCCAAGATGAGGGGGGTGGGGTGGTAAGCCCCACCCCTCTGGTGGGAGATGCCTCCCTCCGCTTGGGATTCTCAGCTGAAACCCCTCTCTTGGAGTTAGGAACCTACACCGGCTTGACAAGAGATGGGGGTGGGGGGAGGAGCACCACCCTCACGACTTTTAGCTCAGTAGTCAGAGCACTCGCCTGGACGTGGGTGACCCCTGGTTCAAATCCCACCTCCCCCTGAGGGGGAGAAGGGATTTCAACAGGGATTTGCCACTTCTCAGGGGAGTACTCTCACCGTGGGGCTAATGGGAAAACCTGGGGTGGGGCTCCCACAGGCGAAGTCTACGCCTGAAACTTAGGTTGACCAAGTGACGTTGTCCAGGGATGTGAAAAATTCACACCCGAGAGACGTAATTAAGCCAAACTAAGCCCTGGTGTAGACAGCGCGAGGTCGACGGAAGAATTCTTCTGCTGACCGAGCTCGTGCAGGTGGATTCACTGCAGCGATGGAAAAACCCCTTCTGTTGCTGTAGCAACCATGCTGCCGCTATGCCACTGTAGTGTAGACGTAGCCTCACCCTCTCCTGGTGAAGCTGTTCCACTGTGGATAAATAATCAAAGACCCAGAGAGAGAGAGACACACACCACCAGCATGCATGAGAATGGCTCTGTAGCCTAGTGGTTAGAGCACTCACCTAGGAGTGGGGAGACCCAGGATCCAGCCCCCTGCTCTAATGACTTTTAATCATTCCCCTTCAGCTTCAATAGGAGAGACTGAGAAAGCCCCACATCAGAACACTCCAGAGCCCTGGGGGTAGGGCATTCACCAGAGAGGTGGCAGATCCTTCTTCAAATCCCCTCTCCTCCTCAGCTGGAGTACACTGACCACTGGGCTAAATGTTATGAGGAAGGTCTGCCTCCCTCTCCCCCCGGCCATATTAGACAAGCTTGCCTACAGGGCCTCCATCTGGTGGGCCAGCTCGGAGCACGCTTACTGGATTGGACCCTGCAGGCGGGTTAGGCGGAGGAAGGCCTGTCTTCTGGCCCCCTCTCCCAGGGACGGCTCTGGCCCTGGGGCCTGGAATCGCTGTCCGCAGTCCTGCGTGTGCTGACTGAGCTTTCACTGCACACACTTGGGTGCTCAGTCGATTGAGGTGCCTGCAGGGTTCAGCAGCTGCTGAGCAGGGGTTCTGTGAATCCCAACAGTGGGGCCTGATTCTGGGATCTGTCCCTTGGTGAAGCTTGCCCTGTGATTTTTAATCTGGGCGTGTCCTTTTCACATTAAAAAAACAAACAAAACAAACCTTCCTGTCCCACCCCCCCCCCCATTAGCCCTCTTTGTTGAATCCAGCCTGTCTTGTGCCCTTTCTATGGGGGGAGGGGCTGTTTTATTTTGGATGGGGGTGGGGAGCTAGAGGGAAACCCCATAGGTACTTGGGGCTGGACTGACCCAGTCCACACACAGGATTTGTTTCAGGAACCAAAGCATTATTTAAATTATCCCGCAGGAGTTAGGAGTGGGGAAAGGGCCGCTACCAAGCACACCTTCTGGGGGCTGCTTTTGGTACTCACAGATCAAGAGGGTGGGGGTACTTGTCCTTCTCCTTGACCGGCAGCACAAAGTAGGGAACCACATACTCTGTCCCGGTCTTGTCGCGGTAATGCTCGCGGTGCCTCTGGGAAAGCTGCGGGACAAACAAACTACTCAGAACCCAGGCTTCCGGCACAGGGCAGAGCTGCATTAGCTGGCAAGGCAACCGAAGAGATAAAATACCAAATAGGAATCATAGAATCATAGAATATCAGGGTTGGAAGGGACCCCAGAAGGTCATCTAGTCCAACCCCCTGCTCGAAGCAGGACCAATTCCCAGTTAAATCATCCCAGCCAGGGCTTTGTCAAGCCTGACCTTAAAAACCTCTAAGGAAGGAGATTCTACCACCTCCCTAGGTAACGCATTCCAGTGTTTCACCACCCTCTTAGTGAAAAAGTTTTTCCTAATATCCAATCTAAACCTCCCCCATGCAATGGGAAAAGATAACAGGCCTTGTGCTGCATCCCTCTTTCCCTGCTGCGAAGGGACACTGCCTAGCAGGGCCCAGGGCCCAAAGCCTTATTCACTAGCTGGGATAGCTTCTTTAGGGCAGGGTCCTCTCTTCCTAGAGACGTGCAAAGCGCAACCTGCTTTAGAACTAATAACAACCATGTTTCTAAAACTCCCCTCCCTCAGGTGCTTTCCGGGCAGCACATACAGGTAAGTGACGATCGTGATCAATAGCATCTGGGCTTGGCTTGGGAATTCATCGATGCAAGCTGTAATTATTCCTGAGGCACCGTGATGGAGGCGTGGCTCTGGGCCTTCACTATGGCTGAGAAGTGGAGAGACAACACTGTGTTTTGGGCGCAAATCATACAACGTGCAGCTTGGCTGAGTCTGGTTAGAGAGATGCTGCTCTCTTTAGCTAGGGGGAACATCCCCCATGTGCAATCAGACACATGCCCAGGCCCATGCATGGTCCCACAGCCACACCCACACACCTGTCCTCCTCTCATGCTATTTATTACTGGGATAACATGCTTTCTTCGCCCAGGGACTCTGGGCTCCACCTCTCTGCTCCACTTCCCCCTCCTGTCCCAGATCAAAGATTCAGGGAGAGGGACACAGTTTCGCTGTGCTGAGCAGTGGGGCTATACTCCGGCTGTGTCCTATGCTGTGAGCTACGCCAGCTGGGTGACCCTCGCATTCCTTCCCCCTTTAGCTGCCACGTCCTCTCTCAGACAACTCAGCAAAGCTCGATGACTCCTCAAACAGCTCCCAAGGCAATCCCGCCCGCAACCGCACACGCAGAGATGTCTGCGCTGTAACCATGGGAGGGGAGCCCTGCTCTTCGGCAACCACCACTGCTCTCCATGCTGACTCCTCCCTCCGCATGCCAGTCACGCGCATGCAAACCGGTGGAGACGGGACAACTGGAGCCTCCCCTACAATAATGCCAACTGGGTTTTCTGGTGACTGTCTGCCTAGGTTCTTATGTTCAAGAAGCTGCCTTCAGAACCAGTATTAGGGCAGTGAAAAAGACCATCTCAGTGTGGCGGGTAGGTGTCAAAGGCCGAGGGCGCTGGTTTTTGGCTGTGACTGACTATATATTTGTGTTGATTGCATTTTGGCTCAGTCCAGGGCATTTCCAAGGCACCCCTCACTGGGGCACGTGGGTGCTGGCCTGACTGCTTTGCGCTGGCTACTGTGTAGTGCTCAGGAGCTGTGTCGGATCAAGCCCGCCGTGCTGTTGTGTGCAGGCCATGCCGCCGCAAGAAACACCTTCTCACCTTGTAAAACTCCTTCAGCTCTTCGGAGCGGTTGAAATCCAAGTTGAAGCGGGAATAGGAAGGGACGTGCAGCCACCTGTCCCAGCCCCGCGCCCTGCACCCCAGCACTAAGCCAGGGTCAGGCGAGAAGAGGGTGGGGAACTGGCCGCCTTTGCTGTATGGGCAGTGGCTGGTCTCCATGGCAGCATTGCGGAAATCCTGGAAGTATTTCAGAGTGGTGTTCCCGTAGGTGTCGCCGAAGGAAAACACCGTGTTGGGGACATGCCCGCGGTACCTGCAGAGGAAAGACAGAGCCAGTGAGGGACCGGGAAAGGCCAGGGGCACCCCCTGGGGACAGGGCCCTTGTCTCTCCTTCTAAACACTTCTAAATGCACTGCTTGCAAAAGTGAGGGGCTGATGGCTCTGGTTTAAATACATCAGAGAGGGACCATGCAGCTCTCCCCCACATACACCCTGTGGCCCGCATGTCAATGTCCCACCTTGCTCCAAGCTGATTGAGCCATATTGGGAGGGAGGAGGCAGGGGCTCCTCCCAGGTCCTGGGGGCCATCAGTTTACACCCAAAAGCCTTTTCTTACCCTGATCTTCACATGCATAGCTGAAGATATTATCAGCCATTAAACTGGCCAGCTGCTGGAACTGCCTATTGGTGAGATGCATGGGATTGGAAGCCAGGAGCTCTGTAGCACTGGTCTCAGCTGGGCCTCACACTTGCTGTCTAAGCCTTGCCCCACCCCCTTGGGTGGGTCCAACTGGAGACTCCTAGGGCCTGCTTTCCAGAAGTGTTGACGTCAACGGCCAGTACTGGTGCTCAGCATCTCTGAAACTCAGGCCCCGGTTGGATGCCTGGAATTCATGGGCACTTGCAATGTTGAACCTTAACCTCCAGTGTCTCAACTTCCGCATCTGCAAAATGGGGCTATGACCAGCTAGTGCTGAGGAAGGGGTTGGGAGGGTTACAGAGTCTTTGCACAGTCCTCTGAAGAGATGAAGCATTGATGAAAGGCTCTTGTCAATTTAAATATCAGCTTGGCCAGATTATAAACCCCAGGATTGTTGTACATTCATGATGGCAACAGAATCATGGGCTGTCCCATAGCTAAACACCTCACAGATGCTTCCGTACTGGGCTCTGCACTTCTGCAAATATGCAGCTTATAAAATAGACTTTGGCAAGCTGTGATGTGGGCTATGAAAGGCATCTAGCAATAGTGAGACGAGAACAGACCAGAGGGTGACTGCAGAGACATCTTTATCACGGCTTCGGTCTTTTCATTAGCACATTTCATGTGTGATGTTCCATAGGAGGATAAATTGCTATCGAATTGATACTGGCCCTCCCGACTCCAGACATGTGCAGTCCTTCTTCTTCCTCATTAACTGCTCTTCCTTCACATCGACAAGAGCTACCCCCCTACAACGAGCAAAGGGATCAAACGGACTCCCCGTCAACAACGCCAGGTTCACAATGCACGGGGCTGCGTTCACCCTTTCTGAGAACCGTTGCAGGTCAGACGCTTTCAGTGACGTGGGGGAGGAGGGACTCTGAATTTCCTATGGGGCAAAGCTTTAATTTTATTAACAGTTTTCACACCTCCCAGGTACTGTTCGCGCGAGGATCCCAAAGCACTTGATTAAGCCTCACAACAAATAGGGAAGTGAAACCAAGGCACAGAGCGTGACTTGGCCAAGACCACTTAGCAGGTGAGTGGCAGAGCAAGGAATGGAGGTACAATCCACGGGGAGGGGCTCTCTCAGTGGAAATCTCCACGAGGAATGCCTTGCAGAGTTTTCCCAACAGCATGTCATTGGAGAGGGGCTGGGTTTGACCCCCACCCTGTGAAAGGATATGGACCCCTCACTTGAAACTGGGTGGCAGTCCCAGGATCCATGTGGCTCCCAGAGATCCAGAAGAAGCCGAGGCCATCCCGCTATCCTTGCTCCAGCCCCTGGTGGCCTCATTCCCCAGATTCATCACAGCGCCCCCCAGGCACCACCCGAGTGGGGCTAGATGAACAAGGTAAAATAGGGTGTATGCAGGGTCCATGCACATAACACACCTACCCCCACACCATGTAGGGAAAAGGGATGTGGTAATTAGCCCATCGCCCAATGGGACATGGTTCTTCATGCCAGGTGGAACAAGGGGGTGTGAACATCCGGCTGACGAACACCAGCTAAGGGAGGCAATTAAGCAACAGCTGCACAGTGCATAATACACCGAATCCACTCCTGGTTGGTGGATCTGTCCCTCCACCGTCAAAGCCCAGTGAGCGATGTTCTGCCTAGGCCGCTGCCTCTGGCAAGCGGAGACGAAGTGGGACCAGGCCCTTAGGGTTGGGACTAAGGGGAGCGGGGTGCCCAGGCTGTCCCAGCCCTGGAAAGCACTGGCTGTTTCCATAGAACAAGGCTTGCTGGTTCACCCTGAAACTGCTTCCCACCCGCTGGGACTCCAAGGAGCAGCTGTCTAGGTCGTCAGAACTCCTCACCAAGTGACTCCCATCAAGGCACCTACCTCGACCCGCACAAGCTGGAGCCGGCCCTGCTACGACATGCAGTTGCCAGACACTGGAGGGGTCGACATACCCCAGCTTAGGCATTAGCATGAGCTGCAGCAGCCAAAGGGACGCCAGTTGCCCACATCCCCAAGTGCCCATCCTCTGACATCAGCTGCAACTGTGAGAAGATTTTTCTCCTTTGGATTTTTTCCCTCCCCTCCACTAAAATAAAGAATTCTCCAAGCTGAGCTTTACCCGGGCTGGGCTATTGATGGAGAGCTAACTGCTTGGCCACTGCCCCTAAGCCCCCAGGTTCAAAAGAGATCCTAGCCTCACTCCCACTTCACTTGAATAAAAGAACAACTTAGCCACTTTGGTGGCACATGAACTGAGTTTTACAAAAGGTTTAGAGAAGGGGAGGAAAAACCATCGTAGACGAGAGTATCAAAGAACCGCCCCGGCAGTTAGGGGCACGATATGTGCTGCAGAGCACCCCCATTTCCTGTAAGTTAGAAGCCCCCGGATAACTGGGGGCCAGTTTAAGTGCCTGGCTGCCCTAATGACCCAACAGCAGAGATGGTAGCAATCGTTCCTCTGTGACAGCCGGGGAGAGCTGCTTTTGATGGTAACCTGCAAACACACGCGCAATTGACCTGATAGCATGCTGCCTAGGTACTGGGGCGACGGGCATGCTCTGAACAGCAGATACACAGATCTGACGCAGTCCACACAGACACGCATCTGCTGCTGTCTCTCAGACCTCTTTTCCCAGATGCCACGATCACAAACGCAACGCACCGAGCTCACACACCTCGTCATCTCCCCCCAGCAAGCCATCCCCATCCTCCTTCTCCATCACACACAGTCAGCCAGTGATTCTGCCGCTCTCTACGCTCGCACTTCAGGGTGCAATTACACTGAGATCAGTGGGTGACCGCAGCACAGGCTGGCGTCTCCCCGCTCACTTGAATCTCGTGAGCACGGCTAAAAACAGCCACCTAGATGCGGTGGCAGGGGCTTTAGGGTGGGCAGTCCAAGCACCCTGGGGACCCTGGCGAGTTATTGCCTCGCTAGCCTAAGCTGAAGCCCATTCTGTCAGGAATCAGCGCCTGCAGCGGAGCCAATCTCCAGGTTACCTAACGAGTTCAGCCGGCCTGTACCAGGCTGCCTGGTTGGCTGGACGCATCAGCATTCAGCAGCCTGGCTTTTCAGCCCAGCAGCAGCAGCAGCAGGTGAGTGTCTGCTCAAAGCACTCACTCTGGGCTGTGATGGCACCTGTTTGGCCCCAGCCCTGCTCCTGCCTTGTCTCACTCCAGGTAACCCGGCCCTGACCCTCGGCTCTGACTCTTGACTTCAGCTCTCACCCTTAGCTCTGGTTCAGACTCTTAGCGCTGATGCCTGCTCTAACCACTAGGCCTGATGCCTGCTCTAACCCCTGGGCACAACCACTCACAGCCTGGTATTGTCACTGGTATGTTTAGCTGTGCTAGCTAACACAGGTGTGCAGGCCCGTGCTGAAATCATGCCTCTGACTGCAGTGTAGGCATAACCTTTGTGTCGTCCCTCACATCCTAGCTGGCTGCTCAATCCTGCTGCTTCTTCCTTTGTAACGTCTCCAAAATCCTTCCCTTCCTTCGAGCAGAACCCTGGCCCATGCTTTGACAGTTCCCAACACCCACTTCCGTTCCTGCCACTGCGACACCCAATGTCCTCTCCTGCTGCTCCCACGGCACCACGCCCTTTCCAAAGTCCTCACAGTTGGCTCTGCAATTGCCAACAACCTGACTTCACTTCTTGGGCTCAACCCTGCTCCTGTCGCATCTCTTGGCTGCCTGGCAGTAAGCAGTACGGCAGCAGTTTCATATCCTCCACTGTGTGATCGTACCTACGCTGCTCTGGCAGGGGGACAGAACCGATGATCACCTAGCTCGACATGCACATCACGCTTCATCACCATGGTAAATATGTAATGCCAGATCCTCAGCTGGTGTAAACTGACATAGCTCCATTGACTTCAGGATCTGGCTCATAAAAACGATTAGGTGGAATTCCTGGTAACTCTGGCAACATTTGTAGCTGAAAATTTTACTAAAAATAAGAGCTTAAAGAGTAGCTATGAAGCTGTAATGTATCCCCTCTTCTACCCCCTCCCCCACCAAAAAAAGCCATTTATGCCTTCAGTAAGTCTGCACAGAATTTATACAAGTTGACATTATTCTCACTCTGGCTCACTGTAATGATTGCATGGAACCAGCTTTACCGCAACGCTAATACCCTTGGGCTTTCTGATTTCAGAGGGGGAAATGTACATTATAGCAAAAGCAAAGAGGGCAAACTTGTGATGGATTCACAGACAGTGTGTTTGATCCCTGGTTTAGATTCTGCAAGAGGCTGGATTGAACAGAGCACTTGCTTTTCTTTTTGACTGTTTTAATTCACTGGGGAAGCGGAGTGAATTTGGCTGCAAGATAAAGATTTTCTGTATATTGCCTCTAAAGAGCATTTCCGCTGGTGAAAAATAACCCAGTTGTGAGGTTGTAACAATAGGATCTTGCCAAATAAGATGCTGCTTAGAAATCTAAAGATATATGCTTTATAAACAGCTGAAACATCTCAGAGGTGAAGAGAGAAATCTATCCAAAAACTACTGTTATGGGGAACAACAACAACAAAACATAAATGCAAAGGAACCCAAAGGGTCTAGAGAGGAAACCAACTAAATTCAATGGGAGATGGGTTCCTAAATCCCATTGGTTCCTGTGAAAATCTCAGCCTGA